CAGTAATAAGAGGACAACGAAAATAGAGATGTAATCCGAAAAAAATGCTATGAGAAATGTGTTATTGTTTTGGAACGTGCGGTCGCAACGCTGAGTTTGATATTTAGATTTTAAAGTTGTGCGTTTTTGTACAAAAGAGAATTCTTTTTTACTGGTAGGTTTTCCGTCAATGTGGCATGGATTATATTGTTCAATAATTACAGGAATTTCACACTAATTAACCGAAAGTTGCACGTTGGATCAGTTATTTTAATTTCAATTAAAGGTGCAAATTATAATTTATAAATTCATGAATCATTCATAATTATATATATATATATATATATATATATATATATATATATATATATATATATATATATATATATATATATTCAGCAGACACTGAACTTTCATGATTAGCTATTTTCTCAGTAATAGCTACTGAGACTCAAAATCACCACAGGCCTCAGTTGGAACTTATGCATATGATCTATTGTTAAAGATGCTGGGAAAATAGTCAGTTCGTTTTTACAGCTCCAGGAATTAGCATACCCCTCCTTGAATATTCTATCTTTACGAAAAGTCAATTCCGGCCGAAAACGGAATATTGCAGCCATACCTGGATTGAGTGGGTCTAGTCCTAACCTCGCTTGATAAAGTTCAATGTTTTGTACGCAGACTTGTAGGTGATGAATTATCCCCCCTACAACCCTATTCTCAAATACAAAATGTCGCAAGCCGCTTGCTATTCTATCGCTATTTCCATGGCAAATGTTCAGTCGAGCTACATTTCTTGTTTTCACCGGTCCTGACCGCTGAAACTGGCCTCGTTACGTACACACGGATGAATCATACTCGTCCCTTTCGATTAGCAAGAAGTAGGTTCCGCTCTAACCACTTCTTCCCAAGAACTGCAGATTGGTTGAACAGACACCCGACAGGATGTTTCCCTGATCACTACAATCTTCATCTCTTCAGCTCTAGGGTTAATCGTTATCATTCCTACATAACTTAATAAAGTACACGTTTTGCCCTTACTTACGCTCATACAACAGTAGTCCTCTACATTGAGAGGCTCTCAGTTTTTTATTAGGGAAAATTAGCAAAAAAAAAAAAACATAAATAAATAAATAGATAGAATAAATAGATAGATACGCGAGACGTACGGCTGGCAAGAGAGATAAATTCAAGATGCTGGGAAAATGGTGAGTTCGTTTGTACAGCTCCAGGAATTAGCATACCCCTCCTTGAATCTTCTATCTTTACAAAAAGTCAATTCCGGCCGAAAACGGAATATTGCAGCCATATTTGGATTGAGTGGGTCTAGTCCTAACCTCGCTTGATAAAGTTCAATGTTTTGTACGCAGACTTGTAGGTGATGAATTATCCCCCCTACAACCCTATTCTCAAATACAAAATGTCGTAAGCCGCTTGCTATTCTATCGCTACTCCCATTTCTGGCAAGAGAGAAAAATTAAACTTACCAACATTCCGAATATTCTCCCAACGTTCGTCGCCATATTTGAAACTATTTGT